ACTAAAACTGTCTGTACCAGTGTTGGTAGTACCAATGTGAAAATGCTGTGCTGAGTGGTTATATTACTACCTTAACGAAGGGCCTTCGCTCGAAACGTGGTTATATTACCATCTTGACGAAGGGCCTTCGCTCGAAACGTCTAGTTTCTGCTTATTTTTTAAGGTAGTAATAGCACAGCATTTTCCTTACTTATTACTCTAATCGACCTAATCCTATTCCCCAACCCAAAGAAATAACACAAGGCAAATAAATAGCAAAGGTGCCCTCAACCTCAGGTGCCCTTTCAATTAAACGATTGCCTTGCGAAATAGCGAATTGTCAGAAATGTTAGTGCAATTGACCATTTGCGTAATAGACTAAATTTTGATCTCAACTGTGATGAAATTTTTGTCTAGACTTGTTTAGATCAAAATTTAGTCTATTACGCAAATGATCAATTCTTTTACGAATTTGCTTCAGAAAACGCAAGAAATTCAGTCATCGAGCTTCAAGAATAGCACAATCGCAGTGGCGCCGTGGAAAATTGTCAATGTTGTCGGAAATTTTCGGAAAATTTTCAACGTTGTCGGAAATTGTCAAAGTTGGCGACGTTGGTATATTCGGAAAATTTTTTTCATATTTAGGAAGAAATGTGATATATCCGGAAAAAATTTTGGGTTTGTCCGGAAAAATTTTTTTGAGAACTCCCCCCTCCCCCTCCGTCGCCAACTTTTTCCGGGAAAAAATTTTTAGGTTCCTAAAAATTTAGGTTCCTTGTCGGAAACTATTTTTCGGTTTGTCGGAAAAGTACTGCCCTTGGCCTCCCCCAAGAAACATTGGTCCCACGGCGCCACTGCACCAGTGGCGGTGGAACAGGGGGGCTAGGGTGGCTAAAGTCCCCTCCAGAAGTAAAAGTGGGGGGGGCTTAGCCCTCCCCCCCCCCCAGAAAATTTTGTTTTTTCTGGAAAATTTTTGATAATTAAGGAAAAATTTAGGTATAAGGGGGGAAATTTGCAATATTTTGTTTAAAAAATGTGTATGCCCGGAAATGTTTTTTTGTTATAGGTCCGGAAAAATTTTTTATCAGCGCCTTTTTGGTATGTGTCCGGAAAAATTGGCGACGGGGGAGGGGGGAGAAAATTTTAATCCCCCCAAAAAAATTAGCCCCCCCCCCACAATAAAATATGTTCCGCCGCACCTGCACTGCATAATCGCCTGGCGGAAAACCACCTCACACCCCTATCATCCAATAAATAGAAAACATGAAATTCGGCGAAATTCAACTCCCGATGTTTTGCAAACATCTCTTAGTAATTCAAAAGTGCCCTTTCACGAAAATCTGCCCCCCTTGCCTTCACATCGTTCGGCGCCCCTGGATTCACTCTTCAGGAATTGCAAATTGTATTTTATATTTCGTATCTTTGACGTTGTGTAATCCTTTAATGATTATCTAATCAGAGTCTAATCAATTTTAGGATGTATGAAAATAATATATTACGAAAAATCTCTACTGGATTGCGTGTGGTTTTACCCAAACGGAAACACCTCCTACATTCATACATTAGCCGATGGCTATCAAATTGCCAAATATTTATAGTGATGTATGTACAGTAATAACAAATGTAACAATTGAGCCTACTTCCCGCCAGGAAAACCCCCCTTAGGGAAACCTGGTCCCTCCCGACAGTGGCGTAACGGAGGAAGAGGGGGCCCTTAGGCATATTTGGTGTGGGTGCCCTTGTTGACTGTTGTCATTGTTTGACTGAGATATTATATTTATATTGAATATTTATAGAATGTTCTGGAAAATTCCATGTCTATAAAAAAACAATATAACAGTCTCCAACACATGTAACCACTAATAAGAATAACTTTTGTTTGTTTGAGATGGAATAAAAAAAATCAGCTGCCGTTATCGATGGAGGTTTAATTCTTTAGCATTATTAATTTTGCAGTTTCCTATTGGTTCTTAACCTCTATTTTTTACGTTTTCAAATTTTCTGGGCGATAGCCCGTGGCTGATGGGGCCTCTAACTGTCGGGGGCCCTTAGTTTTTGAACTACCCCTACCTAATGAGCGTTACGCCACTGCCTCCCGAATGCAGATTCAAGCTCTAAATTGTAATCTCGAGGGAGTAAGATTGATTAACACAAAAATGTTAAGTAACAACACAACAATTATGATAATCAGTTCGTACCCTAAGCATTATGATTAACTTTGATGTTTAAACATTTTTTATTTGTGCATTAGAGCAACGCCAGACTAGAATGGCGCTAACCAAAATGTGACCCCTCTGGCGCCAAAGCAATTGCCTTGGTAAAAACGTGAAAACAACTATTTTCTGCTGTTCTGCGAACCTTATCCCCCAAACCAAAGAATTTAATAACACAACATTTTCCTCATGTCAAATAAGGTTGCTGGCTGTCAGTGGCGGCGCCAGGGGGGGATTCCCCCCCCCCCTCCATTATTTTTGCCAAAAGCGTCCGGTCTGTATGGGCGCATATATGGTGGAATATCCTAATGGGGAGGGGGGGGGGCGATATTCCTGGGGCATTCGCCCTTCTGGGGGGGGGGGATATTCCCAGGATATTCGTCCCCCGGGGG